AGGAAATGTGCCTGAATCAAAGGGTCACTATGATAAAGTGAACATAGAGGTTTACCAGCCCTCTCATTTCCTAGGACCCCACCTTAGAAAAGCCGGAATCGAACCTGCATGAGAGAGATCAAAACTCCTCTTACTTCTCTTATATTATTGTCTAGTAATGTCAGCTAATCAAGCTGTCGGGCCCATACCCTGAAAATGGTGGTCCAGCCCCCTCCCCTACTAATGAACCCCCATACCAAATTAATCTCCCTCCTTAGCCTTCTCCTAGGCAAAACAATCACTGTCTCAAGCAACCACTGAATCATAGCTTGAGCCGGTCTAGAAATCAACACCCTCACAGTTATCCCCCTCATTTCCAAGCCCCATCACCCATGGGCCGTGGAAGCATCAGTTAAATATTTCCTAGTACAGGCTGCTGCCTCTGCCTAGGTCCTATTCTCAAGCATATCCAATGCCTGAGCCACTGGCCAATGAGACATCGCACAGCTAATGCACCCAACAGCCTCCCAATGCACCCAACAGCCTCCCTACTGCTAACAACAGCAATCACGATCAAACTAGGTCTAGTCCCCTTCCACTTCTGATTTCCAGAAGTCCTCCAAGGCACAGCTCTAACTACTGCCCTCCTACTCTCCACGATAATAAAACTCTGCCCAATGGCCATCCTCTTCATAACATCGCCCTCATTAAACCCCACAGTGCTTACCACCCTAGCCCTTGCCTCAGCTGCATTGGGAGGGTGAATAGGACTAAGCCAGACACAGACCTGCAAAGTCCCTTGCCTTCTCATTCCATCTCCCACCTCGGATGACTCGCCGTGATCGTCATCTGTAGCCCCAAACTCACCTTCCTAACTTTCTACCTCCATGTCCTGATAACAGCAACGGTATTCTTATCCCTCAACACAACCAAAACTCTAAAACTATCCACACGAGGATCCTTGTGGACAAAAGCGCTCGTACTAAATGCCACCCTAACACTAACCCTTATATTGCTAGCGGGGCTGCCTCCACTGACAGGATTCATGCCCAAATGGCTAATTCTCCAAGAGCTAACTAAACGAGAAATAACAACCACAGCCACAATTATCACAATACTGTCACTACTAGTTTATTCTTCTACCTGCGTCTTGTGTACTACGCAACCATCATCCTCCTCCCAAACTCTGCCATCCATATAAAACAGTGACATATCAATAACCCCACAAACACCTCCGTCACCATCCTCCCTTCTCTCTCTGCCATCCTCCTGCCCGTCATCCCCATAATCCTTGCCACCATCTAGAATAGATAGTATACCTTTACTGGAGTGTAAAGAAAAAGGAGGGATAAAAATAATTTAGAGAATTGCAAACATCAAGCTGAATGTTCGAAGTCTATATTAACTTGTTAAATTTAAAAATCTGCAATAAAGAGGAACATCTTCACTTGGAATAAATTTTTCAAGCCTTATATGCAGCGCTGTTCCAAGGAACTGTATTAGAATGGTATCTGTCTTTTTCAGACAAGAGCAAGTCAGTGTTCTGTATCAGAATATTCATATAGTGGAACCAAGATTAATCCAGCCTTACGAACATGTCATTAAGAACTTCATCCGAGAGATCAAACTTCAAAGCACGGAGATGGAAACCTTAGCCATTGCTGTAAAAAGGTATAGTAAGTCATGTTTCTAGTTCATTTGTGCAGTTACTTTTTCCTCCATCACTCTTGCTTGGATAAATTACTGTAAGTTAATGCCAAATGTGCCAAACAATCTTTTCATAAACTGAGCTCAAAGAGTATAGTTCATAAGCACATACACGTGCATAAGCAGCTTGGAAATGGCTCTTTATTTATATTTTTGGATAAGTCTTGGACCAGACTTTTGAAGCTGCATTCCTGTGTTTAGTATCTAAAATATTTTGATTTCTCTTCCTTGGCTGTAATGTTGAGTTTTAGCATATGTGCCTGTTACAGTTTCATTTAACAAAACATGTTTTTGCCTCTCCAGCTTCAGGGGATGTATTTACCTATTCTTGGTACATGTGATCTTGAATCATCACTACTGAAACCAAACAGATTATGTCAAAATGCAGATGTGATGTATTTCATACTAATAATCTGTTCTCTTCTATTTTTTTAAATCTAACTCACCTGTATTTTCAAATTAGCTTGTGATTTTGGCTCCCAAACACACCCCTTCCAAGGTCTGGGCGGTGTTCAGCTGTTTCTCTGTCTGATTTCTCTGAGCTTGTGCAGGGAGACGTGTTTTACACAAGTTTCCTCAGAAGCCAGAGGTCAATTCGTAAGACTATATTTACTTTCAAATTTTAGAGCTCAGGATAAAGCAGCAGTTCAGCTCAGTGAGCTGGAGGAAGAGATGGAACAACGGATACAGGCTGCAGAGCATAAAGTTAAAAAGGAAGTGAGTATTTTGTATTTACGGGATTTCACAGTTAGCAAACTCTCAGTAGTCTTAAGAAGCGATGGCCAAGTGATTCTTTGATCCTGATGGGCTGATTCAAAGCCACTGAAGGCAGGTCTGGAAGAAAAGAAACTATTAATGAGATAGGAAATATAGTTGTTTTTTTTTTCCAAAGAGGAACAAGAGCTCAGATGAAATAAACAACAGAAAACTCTCCTTTCCATTCTATGAGAAAGTGGTGAGGTAGAGGAGTTTGTTTCTGAGACTAGTCTTGGAAGCAGATTGGAAAACTGACCTTTCACCAGAAAAGAATGGAATCTATTTTCTACTGCTAGTGGTAGATGAATTTGTGTTGAAATTAAAGTTCAGGTCATTTGTTCTTAATTTGTGAATCTGCCTGGAGCAAAGATCTGTCTTTCCGCTATTGGCACATTTAGATCCTGTGATTACATTTTAGAAAATTGTAGAGAAGAGGGAGGATATTTTTCATGAAAATTTGTGAAAGCCTGGACCTCTTGAAGTTGATGGGAAGTTCTCTGTTATTTCAGTGTGCTAAAGTTTTAGCCGTTGTTTCAGTCCACTGGTAGACTTGATGGCAAAGTATAAGAATCCTCTTCCCCTTACTTGTTGAAAGATAGAGTTGAACAGCAGGTGGTTAGTAATTCTAAGTAGAAAACAACACAGTAAAACCACCCTGTCTATGTTGTCTACTTCCTGTTACACTGTTGTTAAATTCACATATGATAAACCTAACTTTGTAGTATGCAAAGAATAAAAATTCCTGTGAAATGTTCTAACATGGACATAATAAACTCAGCAATTGAAATATATACTGTGGCCATTATTATTGCTCTGGTAGGACACACTGAACATTCTCAGTTTGGGTTCTTTCACAAAAGCATTTTGCAGAGTAAGAAGCAGCAAAGTGCAAACAGCAAACTTGCTGGTATTAAAACAGTTTACGAGAACTGATCAGTGAGGTACGTGGTATTCTGATAGATTTGGTTCAGGCTTCGTCTTTTCTGTTCAGAAGGAAACACTCCTACCATAACATGAGTTAGTTGTTTTCCTAGAAAGAAAACATAATGGCATAAAAATGTTATAGATATCACTGCAGGCAAACAGTGTATCATCATGTATTCAGCTAATGATAGTGCAACTCTCAGTGCCAATATACTTTCTGTTTGGAGAAATAGTAAGCATTTTGGTTCAGGAAACAAATGCATTTGTTTTGGAAATGTCCTTTCTGTACAAAATGGTAAATCACTGAAACAAAATTAAATAACCTTGTTCACTCCTGTAAAAAGATGACTGGGAAATGTGTATTCATTGAAGAACATCCACAGTTATGTATTAGCAATATATAAAAACACATCCGTGTATTATCCATTCATATTCAGTGTTTTCACTTTCTAAAAAGAGTCCCTCATGATTCAACAAAATTCCTTGTAGTTTGCAATGCTTATGCTAATGAAAGATCTGTTCTTTGGCTTGAAGTGCTTTAGGAAAAACAAAAAAAGAGGCTGGGAGCAGCCTCAAAAAGTCATCAGCTTAAGTCCTCAAACTGTCATTGATTTGTGTGGATTGGTGTTTCACCTTTCATGCTTAGATATAAATATCAAAGATGGGGTGTAACTTGTTTCTCACAGCACTCTTTACATTTTTACTGCTGAACGTTCTATTTAGCTCATAGCTCCACTTACTCCACCTTCTAAAACGCCCTGAGAGTAAATGTAAGATATTTACTTTGTGGGATTGTACTAAGCTATTAATCTTAATGCCTACACTCACACTATTGTTTGTCAAAATGATCTCACTCATGCAACTGGGACACCTTCCTCTGCATGACAGTATGTGCAGTTTGAGCCTATATATCTACCTCTTTTTTTTTTTTTTTTTTGTAAGAAAAGCAAACAGTTACCTAACAACTGATACGTTAGCAATTTACGTAGGTGCCAACAGCAAGAGAATCTAGCCTAAACTGATTACTTTGATTGGTTATCATTCTAACACGTGGATGTCAGCATAACATGGGAAAGAACTGAATTGTGAGCAAAGTCGCTGTCTGTCTATCTGTTTCCACCTGAAAACCCAACGGGTCTCACTGACACCATATATCAGCACTGAATACTGGGTTCTGTGTAGTGAAACTGTGCTTAAATAACAGGGAGTGACTGGAGTGAGTTAAACACATGCTCATGTACAGCCCAGGGAGCACATCATTCTTTTCATTGCCAGTTCAAAACTGTTTTGGGGGTACCTTCCTTCCAAATTCTATTGGTTTTGATTAAAATAAAACTCAAAATCATTTACTGGGTTTAACAGTCAATCCAAGTCTACATGAAACGACCATGATTAAAGATGTTGTCATCAGCATACCTTTTACGAAGCCTGGACCTATAGTTTTCAAACTTTTACAAGGGTTAAATTTAGAAAGATATGTAGGAATAAATTGAAACAGGAATAAATTAGTGTCTGTATGTATATTTTCATATATAAATATATATTTGTATGCAGACACACATGGAAAATTTGAACAACACTTATTTCAGTTTTATTTAAGACATTGGGAATGCTAAGTGCAGGAGAATATGACATGAATAGCAAACACTGAATTGACCTGTATCTTTGCTTCCATGACCTATATCTTTGCTTCCATCTGTTTAATGTTTCATTTCTGTAAATATTTTATAAGTGAATGGCAATAACAGAATCAATATCTGTGGGTCCTAAGAAAGGCCACTGACTTAATGGAAAGACCAAACTACACAAATCAGTCCAAGAGGAAAATGTTCGGCTTTTCAAATTGATGACTACGTTCTTTAAGAAACGTCTGAAACCTGTCTTGACTCTTAATAAGATAACATATTGCAGGAGAAACGAAAAGCTGAAGAAGCACTAAATGAACTGAAGCGCCAGTATGATACTGAAGTTGAGGATCTTCAGGTGACAATAAAAAAGCTTAGAAAAGTAAGTAGTTTGCAGTCATGGCTAAAATAATTGTAAGAAATGCTGACCTGACGAAGTGCCTTCCTGAAGATGGATAATCACAATTATAGCTTTTTAGTTTAATGTATATTAATAATTGGCAACTTTTAAAAGAAGTTTTAGGTTGTGTTAATATGAATATTACAATTATCTAGTCTGCTAATTGATGCGTTAGAAGTAGTGTAATATGTTGCTCCTAAGTATTTGTAGTTTATAGAATTAGATGAAATTGGCAAAGCCAAGTATACTAATTTGCTATGTTATAATGATGTAGTGCCTTTTGGCAAACTAGTCCAGTTCTCTCAAGTATTTCAAATGTTCATGGTAGAGGTAGGTTTAAACTGTAATCTGAAATTGAAATCACTAGTAGAACTAGTTATTGCTAGTCTAAAGTTAAATCCAACATGATTTTTTCATTTGATAGCTAACTCTGTAAGATAAACCAACATCTCAGATACGAATATCGGTTTGAGTTATTTTGTAATCTCGTTATAATTTTCTGATTAGCTTTTGCTGTAGGTGTTAGCAACATTATAGCAACCATGGAGGTTTTATTTTGCTTCTTACTAAATTACACTTAAAGCAGCATTGGTAGAAGTGGATAGTCTCATGAGAAATAATAAGCGCTTGTGTTACAAATACTGCGGAGAATTGACATCGATGAGGTAGCATATACTTTATTTATTTATTTTTAAATTAGTGGAGGCACACCTGTTTGTATCTTAATATCTGGCTTTTATTTCACTAATAATGCAGAACAAATACTTGTAGCAAATCTACAGAGTGCAGAGTGCATTTAAAACATTTTAAAGTATTCACTTAGAAGTAAATTATGAAACTGGAAATTTTTTGGAAGAGATGCTGCTTACTCATACAATTGGGAAAATTATGAATTTTAAAAACTTTCATAGCTGGAACGCATTTGGGGTAATTTAGTATGACATCCATTACTTTTTACGTTCTTTGAATCAGAACAGTCAAGAACATACATTAATTGTTCATGTTTTTATTCTTTTAGCTGGAGGAACAATCCAAAAACATAAACCACAGGGAAGATGTGGTTGAACTGAAAAAAAGGATACATGATATGTTGCTGGTAAGAGCTGATTATCATTAATGTATTAATTTAGCCTTAGTGTTCAATACAGATTGTTTTTTCACAATTTGTCCTGGTGTGTTAATGATTAAACTAAGAAATATACTTTCTAAGTTGTTGGCAGGTGTATGGGGATATTTATCTTGAGGGGGGAAAAAAATTCTATTTAAGTGGATAGATACACACTGTAGGTGTAATATTTAGAAATTACTTGAAATGATACAGTCTTATTTTTGTATAGCAGAAATGGAAAAATCAAAAATTGGTAGTGTTCTTAGATGCTAGATATTGACTAGCATAACTTTGATTTTTATTTTAGCATTACAATATGTCAGCCCTTTATGGAAGTGACTAACAGCTCGCATCTAACTAATGTCTGCTTTTTTTTTTAAAGGAAAATCAGAAACTTAAGAAAGATCTTTTAGAAGCACAGACAAATATAGCTTTTCTACAGAGTGAATTAGATAGTTTGAAAAGCGAGTACGCAGATCAGAGTTTCAACACTGAGAGGTAAGGTATTTTTACATGATAATATTTTCGGCAGGGGAAAAAATCTGTTGTCTGCTCTAGTTATTATATATGCAATTGATAACTTTATTTTCTTGACTTACCATAACTGACAAATACATGTCTGACAGTGTGCAAAGTATACCATAACCACTGTTCACTTAGGTTATCAAGGCTCTGAAAGAGCAAGTGCTAAACATGATACAAACTCTCATAATCATGCAAAGAAGCCCATTGATTTTCCTGGGACTTCAGTTAGGAGTAAAAGTTATAGCATCAGGCACTTTTTTTCCATGTGCCATGGCTTGCACTCGAAAGAATAACTGTGAATGTCAGGAAAAATAAAGTTTAGAAGCCTCCTGCATCGTTTTCAGCCATATTTTCCTGAAAGCAAATGAGAGCTGCTTCCAGGTACTTGTATTCATTTAAAGGCATCTGTATGACAGTTTCACGATACTATTATCTTTATTCACAGCTTTTGTTGAGATACAATAGCTGAGATCAATGAAGTTATCAAATTGTCTTCTGTTGCCTAAAATTGCTTTTAACATATTTCAGCAATCTGAGATGTAAAAATAGAAAAATACACATTTAGAAATATCTTAAAACATTGTATTTTTTTCCCCACTGTATATTTATCACTTTTCAGAAATGTTGACTGTTGAGTTTTGTCCTCTGTCCAGGCAGAACTGTTAAAAAAAAAAAAAAAAAAAGGGACCCTAAAAAGAATAACTGTTTTTTTTACAGAGATCTAGAAATGATCCGAGAGAATACAGAAGACAGAGATAATCTGGAAAGACAAATTGAAATGCTTCAGTAAGTTCCCAGTAATTCAGACTTCTAGTAACAGATTTTATCCAAAAATATTCAGAGGTAAACAGTCTTCTAGTTATGTGAAAGACGCGGATGGAATTTGGGAAAAAAATATCAAGTCAAATATTGAAATAGCCTCAATTCTCATAGAAAGTACTCTACAAATCTATATGATTTCATCTTAAACTTGTTTTCCTGTATTATTGAGCTGGATGCTCATGTGGCAGCAGTTATGGCTATGCCATCTGGGTTTTGTGTTCTTCCCTGGTATTTTCGCTTAATCTCTTCCTATCCGAAAGGAAAAAAGGTATATCAGATCCTGTATCTTCGAAGCTTCATTTTTAGAAGTCTGGATTAATCTGGAGTGGCATTAGTTACCTTTTTGATTTCCCATTTTTAGGCTAAAGTAACTGTGCAGCAGGTGTTTATGTGTTTTATACACAAATTTTTGGCAGCCTATCCATGATGTCTCTGCTTATGCCTTCTTAAACACTTCTTCCATTTTTTTTCCTCCCTGCTTGTTAAACAGAGGCGTAGAGGATCATCCTATGCCATTGTTTTTTAAGCAGAGCTCTCTACTGACTGAAGTGGCTCAAAAGTATTAACCAAAACTGGCAGTTCCTTGAATTCAGTGCATGTTAGTGTGTGACTACTGAGCTACTAACACTTTGGGCTTTTTTCTTTTTTTCACTAGCCTCATTCATTGACTTTCTTTTCTTTCTAAAAAGCTGAATGAGATCTGAGTCTATCCATGCTGCTCCCAATATTATTTCTTGGCTCTTTAGATTGACTTACTTTCTATAGTAACTCCCTGTCTCTATGTTTCCTGGTTAGATCAGCTAACAGAAAGCTACACGACAGCAATGATGGCTTAAGAAGTGCACTTGAGAACAGTTTTAGCAAGTACAACCGGTCACTGGTATGTAGTTGTATTATACTTTAATATAATATTATATTGTTTTAATTATTAATTTGGATATTAATATATAATTTATATATATCTATATATATATATATCTATATAGATATATATCTATATATCTATATAGTTTGCCATTTCGACATATTGGAAAAACTTTTTAACTCCAAAACCAATGGTCAGGCAAGCGTTATGTCACCACAAAACTAGCCAATTGTTTAGGAAGGATGGTGCCAGAACAATGGGACCACAGGGACAATATTGGCCAGCAAAAAGGAGAATACGGACCATTGCCTGTTTCCAGCATACCCTATCAGTGAATGGAAGTGCCTTTTGCTGATACAGGCTCCCAGAGTTTCACTACAGATGCAACAAGCGATACCATTTCCTTCCTCTATGCCCTGAAACATAAGGGAGGCAGGTTACAGAGAAGAGAGGAGAAGCTGTTCTCAGTGAATGAATTTAAAGGAGGGAGGGCAGAGCGTGTGAAAGACTTTGTCATGTGCTGTCAGTTGAAGTTGGTCTTCACAATCCCACTTGAGAACCAGAAGTTGTATCTACTGGAGCCAGCTCAGCCAGTGACATTTTCTTTTCCCTTTTAGTCATCAGCAGGTGTGGACTGACTGTCTTTTAAAGAACACAAGGACAATCCTCTTGCCCTTTCTCTAAATACTGTTTTTCAGAATTTATTATCTCAAAACTCTTAGCAGTATAGTCATTGACATCTCCTTCTTGGGAAATGCACTTATCTTTTGTGATTGAGTGTGGCCAGCAGATCCAGTATTAAAGCAACAAGGGAGCCTAAATGATATATGTAATGTGCTGCATGTAATGTAATGTGTTGACATTTGGTACAATTTAAAGGAAAAGGTTTAATTAAATATAAGGAGTTGAATATACATGAAAATGCGTAGCAGTTTCGAGATTTTTATCATGACAAACCTAGATGCTTAAACTGTGTTTATCAAACCTATCATGTATTTCTTCTGTATTTGTCACAGCGGCTAGTAAACACCTCACCAGGAAATACCATTTCTAGAAGCAGTCCCAAGTGTAGTGGTGGACAGTCTCCTCTAAATCCACGGTATGACAGGTAAGCCAGTTTTGCTTTTACTCAGTTTGAAAAGGATAGAACTTTGCAAATATCGTAGAAGACTAAATACTCTCAAAAAACAAAATAATTCTGTCTGATTCAGAAAGAATGTGTGACCTTTATAGCATTTGGTCGAAAGTATAATGAAGTCGATGGGAATCTCTTCAATGACTTCAGAAAGTTCAGGAAACCTCTTTTCAGTGCTAACTAATGAAATTGCACAGAATTCAAACAGCTTCGTGTTTGATCTTAGATTGTTTTAATTCTCATTTGTTTCTCAGTCTCCTTGCCTGTTTCCAAGGAACCAAAGAAGCTACTGAGCACCTCTACTAACTCATTTCCTCAGTACTTAGAAAATGAAGCATTTTTTATTTGTATCTTTATCCTATATGTCTAGTTTTCCCGTATAATAATTGTCACAAAGGTATTTGGGCCTAATTCTTCAAAGGGAAAATGTTATCTCCCACTGACATGCAAGAATAGTAAGTGCGCTTGGGTATTAACGTAGTAAGAGTCCCAGGGAACCAAAAGTTATCTAAATGCAAATATCATAAATGGTCAGAGCTACTTCAGTTCTATGCTTACTGGATGCATTGGTCAGAACTTCCTCAAATCGTTTCAAGATTCTCATTGGTCTCACTGAGTGTTGGATTCTGCCTCAAATGCTGTAGGACATTTTTTAGCTGGAACTGCCATTAAAAATGTGTGTTCTTACTCAACTGATACTGTTTTGTCTTATTCTTTTGACATTACTTCAAACTCTGCAGAGATCTCTAATAGCATTCTTATTTGGCCTGTGTTTTATATTTTGCCAGTGGGATGAAAATCTTTTGTAGGGATTAAGTTGGCTTCCCCTTCATACTAATAATATCCAAATTCATTCAATACTGTTACTGATTCTGCTGTCTCCAAGTGAGAGACATGTTTGCTGGCTAAAACATTTTGCTTCCTATAAACTGAGTCCTTCTGCTGAATGCAGATAAAACCAATTCCCTTATGATGGACCCTCTGCAAATTTTGAAAGATTTATCCATTACTAAGCTGCACATTGGACTGAGTAATTTTCTGAGGTTAGGGGAGGAATGAGTAAAACCTATTTAGGAGGGTTAGTGATTTTCTTCTCTGAGAATATTTATTAATATCTGCTGCTTGGTGCAATCCTTTGCATTCGAAGAAAAGCAAGAAATACAACTTTCTTTAGAAGAAAGTTTATGCGCTGGAGATAAAACTTACTCTTAACAGGCATAATCTAGAAGGAGAGAGCAAGATATGAGTTTCCCAAAACACCCTGTTCATTTTCAGCACTTTGTCTCCTAACATCAGATCAGTGTACAGAAACACTGATTTGCATTTTAACATGTTTTAAGCAATTTACATTCCTAAATATACTTTTTCAGTTGCATAATGTATCTTAGTCTAAGTTGCTTTAAGCACATACAGAATTCCCAATGTTGAATCCATGCTTCAGTGGTGTTGAAAACTGACTAATAAAGAACTTGATTTCAGGGACTGCCTGGCCAGCTTAACTTTACTATAGCGTACACCCTTCTTTCTTATTATAGGCTCACGGGTGCTTGGATACAAATAGCATAGATCCTGTGATATTGCAAAACAAAGATCATACTCAGTCACGTGAACGTTCCTTATGCTGGGAGTATGGAAATAAGACAGTTCTGGATGCTATTGCAGTTGAAAAATGCTGCCTCTAACATCCCTGGTTAGCTACTTGCAGGGGGGAATTATACTGGACTCAGTAAAGGGTTCGTAATCCAAAAATCCCTGCAGTGAGCGCACACAGTTCTGCAGTGTGCCATTGTGCTGGAGCACCTGGCACCAGCAGCTAACTAGCTTTACAAGGAATCACGCTGGCCTTGGATGTTTGAGCAGTTCACTGCTTCACGTCCATTCCTAGAGGACAGAGCCAAACTGGTTCTCTCCTCTCTACTATGACTCTGAGATAATTTCTACGTCACTTTCATTTATACCTGTCCATATCTTGCTGCAGGAACAGGATAATGACTGTAGCCATAATATACTTTTTTAAGAGATTGATTCTTTTAAGATTCCCTCTATTTGTCTTTCTTTCTGCTGCTCCTTTTGCTCAAATAAAAGTAATATTGTTCCTGCGTAAGCCACGCTACCATTGCTGCATCTGTGTAAATATTCTTTTACGTTATGACATCCAGAACAAAAAAGATTTTATTTTGAAGGAAGGAAGAGGGGAAAGAAGGGACTTCCGTTTAGTGCCTTAAATTTTACATAGCTAACTAAACTGTAACAAAACATATTTCTGCAGCTTCTGCCTCTGTTGTTGCTGAGCTTCTGAACTCCATTGCCTCCTCTTCTGTACTCGTAGTTGCTACTTACTCACAGGCCTGTGTGAACCTGTGAGCAAAGGGCTCGATGCATTCATGTAAATTGGATACAGCACATCAAGGTGATTTTCCATATCCAACGTTAGCAAAACCATCAGCACTGAGCTATCATTTTCGGTCTTTGATATCTTCATAGTGCTTTGTTTTCTGACTCTCTTTAAAACAATTATTTTGTGTATGAATAAATAGGCATTCTTACTAGTCTTGGGAAGTCATCATCAATAAGATGGATTGCATGGATGAATCTGAAGATGAACAGATACGATAAAAAAGACTCTCTAAGCGGGAAGGCAACATAGGGCGGTGACATTTGCCTTAAAATATGTAGCTAGCATTTCTATTTATTGACTGTTCCAGAGTGGCTCAGATTCTGTTGTTAAAAAGAATAGTAAAATAAAATGTTGTTGTTTTGTTTTACTATTTCTGACTAGATCATCTCATTCTCCTTGTATGGATGAAGATTATGATTCTTTAGCCCTTTGTGACCCTATGCAAAGGGTAAACTATGAGGTTGACAGCTTACCTGAGAGCTGTTTTGACAGTGGTTTGTCTACCCTGCGAGACTCAAATGAATACGATTCAGAAGTGGAATACAGGCATCAAAGGATTTTTCAAAGGTCGCAGTGTGTACAAGAAAGCTTTGGTGGTGATGCTTCTGATGCTGATGTAAGTGCTAGACACTGCATTTCTAAGAACAACCTTTGACTGGAGGAAAATTAGCCTCTATTTTTAAAATGAAATGGATCTTTGCCCTAAGTATTTGGTTATATGCAATTAAATGAGATTACTGACAGCTTTTCTGTAGAATTTTACTCTTAAAAAAGAAAACCAAAGGGTTTTGATGATTTATTTAGACTTTAATTGGTAATTTGCTTTTCAAAGTACATTTCGTTAAAGGTTATCAAACAGCCTAGAGACAGAAGTCAATTTTCCTAGTTAAAAAGTGAATAATATAGAAGTAAAATAGGTTTCAATTCAGATTTTCTTTACTGTGCTGTGGCAGTGATTGGAAAGATGACATGCATAAGAATAATACTATTACTGCATACATCGGTTTACGTGGTAACTCTCAGAGCACTTTAGATAGGGTTATTGTCTCCATTGTGTTGATGGGGAAATGGAGATCTTTACTGACACCCACACAGCAAGAGTAGCAGCATTAACGGTGGAACACAGTTTTTTTGAGAGCAGATCTTTCACTGTGTCCGGTTGGTTTGTTTGCTGTTCAAAACGCCAGGAACAGTGCTGATTAAAGCTATCTGCTGTGTTCTGTTTAGTTTAGCTTAAGTAGTAGTACTCTGGAGAGTTACATCTTGTAGAAATATTTTGGAATAAGTTCTGAAATAATTTTTTCTAGTATTTGATTACTTTAGTTATTTTTTAAGCTGAAATTTTCCTTATGGAAATTCCTTTGCCTTACGTGGAAACCATACTGACAGTGTGTCCCCCAAATAGCAAACATATTTAAAGACAGAAGATATGCCATAGTAAATAGGAAATGTGGCTTCACTGGTTTCACTGGTGCCCGGATCAGAAAAATTCTGATGAAGTATCTTTGAAATTTGGTTAGTGTTCTCAAGTAGGAAAAAGAGAGACATAGGCAAATACTGAAATACATCATGTGGTACAGTTGTCTTTTTTTGCCTGCTGTAGCAGTTGATGTTAGTGTTAGTTGTAAGGTCTGGAGGTTACAGGACTTGAGAAAGCTGCACAGAGACTTTGCTGTCATGAATAAGAATTATGCAGCTCTGTTTGATCCTTTATCTCTATTTAATCCAAACTATTAAGAACAGAAGTTTCATTCAGTCTTAGCTCTGCCTTTCTTAAAGAAGCATGCTTTTCTCACTGGAGCTACCACACTGGCTTGTACTTTTCAGGTTCCAGAGATCAGGGATGAAGAAACATACAGTCCTGACAACAGCAGTGTAGTATTAGACTGGAAGCCCTCACGACCAGTAAGTCGAAGCAGCTCAATTTCTTCCACAAGGAAATATATATCTGCTATTCCTCCTCAGGTAACCAGTTATAAGTAAATAAATAAATAAATAAATTTTGATGTCCAGAACTATATTGTAAGATTTCTTAAATGAGGTGAATCAGATGGATTCTTTACTTTTTTTTTTTCAGTCGGAGGCAAGAGAATGTACTCCAAAATACTCAAGTTCTGAGAAGGCTTACAAGATAGTTCTTGCTGGAGATGCAGCAGTGGGAAAATCCAGTTTCCTTATGAGACTTTGCAAGAATGAATTTCGAGGCAATACCAGTGCAACCCTGGGTATCGTTAGCTTTCTTCCTAAAATACTAACATTTCACTACTATTCTGCAAAAGGAATGGGTAAAAAGAACATGCTCTGTTATCCCCAAGGATTTCGTAACTATACACATGCAGTTGCTTAGCTGTATGATCTAAATGACTATTAAAGCCCCCAAGTGTGTAACTGCTATTTAGAGGGGAGAATAGGGTACTACTTCAATTTAGTTTCTCTGTATAACGCACAAAACCTGTTCTTGAACAATACAAAGCACCAAAAAAAGGAACCTTTAGTGTAAAGGTCCTAGAACCTCTTTACAAAGTCTTTTTGCATTTTCCATTGCCACTCTGTCTTCTCAGCCCGTTCCTGCGTTAGTCTTTTATACTATTGTTTGATATCCTTCATTCTATTCTTGATCTCCGTTTCTTCAAATTGTTATTGAAGCTTTAGTTCAAACGCTGCAGTAGGGATTTCTGGCGTGTTGTACGTGTTATCATAACCATCAGCTAACAAACTTGTCTTATTCATTCCAAAGACAGAATTTTTGTCTCCTAGTCAAATCATAGTTATGCGTATTTGTTTTATTTGCTTTGAGTCAGAATTTTTGTTTCAATTGAATTTCTTCTTCTCTTTGGCATTTGAAATGAATTCTACTTTATTTTCTCTCCTTCCATAAAACCATTTGGTAAAATAAAGCAGAGAGCGATCTTCTTGTTTGCTTTTCATAACACCAAATTTGGAATAATGTTATTGGGAAAATCAGTGGGCAAAGTATTCCTTTAAATGTTTTTCTAAAGTCAGATGGAATATTTATTCCCATATTCAGGGGATTGTTGCATTTCAGGGTTATAGGAACTATTGAAATCTCACAATTTATTAAAAGAGATGACATTTGAAATTATGCCCTTTTATATGGAATATTACTTTTCATTTTCTGTGGATTTGTTAATGCTATTGATGTTTTTAAGGTTAATATTGATTAGACTATATACATTATTCTTTTCAGGTGTGGATTTTCAAATGAAAAGACTAGTTGTTGATGGAGAACCTACAGTGCTACAGCTGTGGGACACAGCTGGGCAGGAGAGGTTAGTGATTCCCTGCAACTTACGTATAATTCGTTTTGGTTTTTTTTTCTGAGTGAGATTTGCATTTTTCACCCCCCCAAATTAATAAATACTACATGGCTCTATTGTAAATATGTCAATATGGCCATATGCGTCTGTAGACAGCTATGATTTTGCTCTGCTGTGACTCAGACAGGTGGAGTGTTCTGTGGTGATGCGTGAGATTACCTTTTATCTCTGCAGAGAGTACTTGTTGACGTCCATCTCAACATTAATTAGTTACATCTGTATCTCTCTCTCTCTTGCATTACTGTAAAAAGATGGGGCAGGAGTACATTGTTTCTTCCATTGCTTTCTTTGGCCTTATAGACCTGTGCATCTTCACAGACTCAATATTAGAGGGTTTTGTGACCACTTCCCTTGAAATTCCTGATCCTGATTTGCATTGTATTCAGTGAATGGAATATCTTCTCTCTTCTCCCCAAAGACTTTAGAGGGATATATGGCAGAATTGTCAAGGATCTTTAAATTATTGTGTAGGATTTCTGCAAAATCCTATGGCATCCTTACCAGCAAAGAGCCGCTTTACAGAAGTAATGCCCTTGGTACTTATTAAGAAGTCACTCTGACACCTGGGAGGTCGGTTTAATCTATCCACAGGCTATGTTCTGTATTGGGCCATATGTATTTACTTTTGTTCAAGTGAGTGGATTATGGGAAGTAGGTAGAGACCGAATTACTCTTGCTGCATGATAAGTTTATGAAGAATATTTCTTATGTAATGGAAGTGCGTAGTTGCCATACTTAATTGTTGTGTTGATGGAAAAGACCACTCTCTAACTTGATAAACTCATTCCTGGAGTAAGTTTATTGACTTCATATTTTCTCCAAACGTAGCAGAGTAACCCATTCAGTTTCTGAACTTGTGTGAGCCTAAAAGCCTTGCCATGTAATCAAAGCCCAGTGCAAAGCAGCTATGTATGCTAGAAAAACTGTAGATTTTTTAATATTAAAAAAGTTTTGATTACTTATTAGGATGGAATCTTGTGGATTTGTATGGAGCGTTTGTAGATCTGTTTAAGTAACTTTCAAAAAGTTTTCTAGGAATTCAGCTGTGAGAAGACGCACAATGCGGATGGAACAACTCTATTTAGTAGTGTAATCACGTATTGCTGTGTTGTTAATGATGCAAAATTAGAATTCTTTTTTGTTAATGTAGCTTTAACGCAAGTCCTTTTCTTTTCCCCTCTTTGAAAGAT